GGGGGGCAATTTAAAAAAAAAAAAAAAAAAAAAAAAAAAAAACAATGACAAATGTTGGCGAAGATGTGGAGAAATTGGAATCCTCATGCATTGTTGGTGGGAATGGAAAATGGTACAGCCACCCACCGTGGAAAAAGAGTCTGGAAATTCCTCAACATATTAAACATAGAATTACTATATGATCAAGCAAACAAATCCACTTCTGGGCATATGCCCAAAAGAAGTGACAGCAGGCACTCAGTCAGGTATTTGCACACCATGTCCATAGCAGCATGATCCACACCACAATAGCCAAAAGGTAGGAGAAGAGGCTGCCTGGTTAGCTCACTTGGTTACAGCGTGGTGCAGAGAACACCAAGGTCAAGGGTTCAGACCCCGCATGGGCCAGCCACCAAAAAAAAGGCAGGGCATCTATACAACTGATATTACTCAGCCTTACAAAGGAAGGAAATTGACACACACTATAACATGGATGAACCTTGAAGACATTATGCTCAGTGGAATAAGCCAGTCAGAATAGGGCAAATGTTTGATTCTACTCGTAGGAGGTCCCTAGAGTCATCAGATTCATAGAGACAGAACATGGAATGGTGGGTGCCGGGGGCTGGGGAGGGGGATGGGGAGTGACTGTTTAATGAGGACAGAGTTTTGGTTTGGGAAGATGAGAAAGTTCTAGCGATGGTTGGCGGTGATGGGTGCACAGCAATGTGAATGTCTTGTTTTTTTGTTTATTTTGGCAGCAGGCCAGTGTGGGGATCTGCAACCTTGACCTTGGTATTATCAGCACCATGCTCTAGCCAAGTGAGCTGACCGGCCAGCCCAGGAATGTGCATGTCTTGATGCTGCTGACCTGTATGCTCAAAAATGGTAAAGATGGTAAATTTCATGTTGTGTATATTTTACCACAAATGTCTTAAAAAGTGAGCCTCACGTTCTCCATGACCACGTTCCATTGTGTAGAATAGTCATCTGGTTCATTGTAACCTCTGTAATTCTTCCTCAGGATCACGAGGTTGTGTTCCAAGGCCACCTCTTGAACCTCGCAAATGAGATAGGAAGTAATTAGCACCCAAACTAGGAAGGGTGATCCATTGGGTGAGGTTTCTTGGGGATACAGTGAGGAAGTGGGGGCTTCCCTTCTGCGTCCCTCATTTTTCCTACCCTCAGCTCATGGGTCTGTGCTAGGGGAAGACACAGGCTGCCATCGGCTCCAAGAAAGGGACACAGAGAAGAGCGTGAGTCTGGAGCCAAGCGCATCTGGCTGTACCCACCACAAACGAATTTGAATCATCTACTCTTTTGAATCGCCCACAAACCCGTTACACCCACGATTTGGCTATAACTCAATTAAAGACTTCAATATCATCGTCACCAATCTCTCTGCACATAAAGGGCAATTTTAATTTTCTATTTTTAAAATAAAGGTTTAAAAACATATTTTCTCCCCCCCCCCAAGAGGTGATATGGTCACATGGCTCAAAATTGACGGAGCACAGAAGGGCAGACCACAAAAAATCTCCCTCCCACCTTTTTCTCCCAGCCAAAAAGTTCTTCCCACTCCACGCCGATGACTGTTACTGTTTCCTGTGTCCCCAAAGAAATATTCTACATATTTCAAAGCCAAGGATATTTTCATGATTTTCCTCCTTGTTTTATTCTGCACTCACAGGTCTGCATCTGGCTGTTTTTAGCAAGAGTAGCAGGTGTTCCCCACCCCCCAGCCCCCTGCCACCCCCGCAGACCAGTAGGTAGGTACTCTTGTGCCCTGCCCATAAGCCTGTGGCCTTTGTCATTCCAGTGCATGCCGACCTGGCTTCTAGCTGCCAGCAACTGAGGGCTCTCTGTAGCCTCTGAGCCTGTGTGCCTGGGGAAGCAGCCCTCAACCAACGACTGATAGGAGTGGGTCGATCCACACCCCAGTCCTCACACCCCTGGAGTGAAAAAACTTAGGTGCATGTTCTACACTGCATCCTAGACATCCCCAGCAGCCCAGTGTCACCTTTTGTGGCCTGCCTCGCTTCCCCTGTCCCCTATCAGTGCTTCCTGGGATCACCTTCCAGATAAACCACGTGCCTTTTTTTTTTTTAGGCAGCTGGCCAGTATGGGGGATCTGAGCCCTTGACCTTGGTGTCATAACACCGCGCTCTAACCATCTGAGCTATCAGCCAGCCTCTACATGCCCTTGAATCCCTGTCTCAGGGTCAGCCACTGGGGGGAGCCACTGAGGACCGCAGTCTCTCGTGCACGGAGAGCCCCCGTCGTTGTTTGCAGGTGCGGATAAGACTCCATTGTGTGGATGGATCATAACTTCCCTAAGCCCCCCGTCCTGCTCTCCGGGCTCTTTGCAATCTTTTGCACACCCTGCCCTGGAGGTTATTCTGCACACGAGCAAGGACGTCCTCGGATAATTCCCAGACATGGGATTGTTGGGTCGAAGTGCCCAAGCTTCTGGCATTTTGATGGATTTTGCTCAACGGCCCTCTATTTTGGACACATTTCAAAATGCTTTTCCAGCCCCCTCCCCCTCTCCCCGCACCAAACACGGTGTAGATGAACCCGGCAGGTTTCTTGCGGTGTTTGGAGGAGAAGGCTGAGGCTTTGAGCATCTCTGGAGGCACGTCCCTCGATCACCGGATCTCCAGGAGCCGGCGGGCCTGGAGCGTGGGGACGGGGACGGGGGTGGGGGCGGGGCTTCTTTTGCTTCTGTTTCCTTCTATCGCTGAGCAGCAGAAGCAGCGGCCAACTTACATTTGGGAAGAAGAGGAGGACCACCGCGGCAACCATGATTTCCACGATGAGAATGACAACCATGAACAGGAAATACTGGAAGACACAGAGGGGACGGAGAGGGGCTGGGAGCCCGCTCAGCTGCGTCCCCGCCTGGCACCGTGCAGGGGAGGGGACTGTCACGGTCCCCCCACCCCCACCCCATCCCAGGCCACTCTGGCCTCTCCAGTTGGAAAGAACTCACGCCTGGGGTGGGGCTGGGGGGCTGGTGTTTATTTGTCCCAGGGTCGCTTTCCTGCATGGTTGGAGGTCAAGAATGCTGGTAGTGGCATACCTGGGGGAGCTGCTAGCTGGGTCCCCATGTCAGGAGGCCTAAGAGGGGACTTCCGGCTGATGGTGTAAAGGGGTTGCGTGCAGAGAGCAGGGGCCGGTGGAGAGGCAGGAGCGACATAGGGAGGAGGAGCAGCGACAACACACCTCAGACAGGGACTGAAGGGGCGATGCCGGTGACAGGCTGGTGGGTATCAGAGGGAAATAACATTTGCAGGCTTATTTTTCCAATAAAATTCCCATGCATGGTGGAAGACAATGGCAAATCCGGCAAGCAGAGGGGAGGTCTTGCAGTTACACATCTCTGAGAGACCGCTTCCCTCTCTGGGGCTCAGTTTCCCCATCTGTATAATGTGGGGGTGGGACCAGCTTAGGGGGTCTCGTGGGTTGAAGGGAGCCCCTCAAGGCTGCATGAGGCGAAGAAAGCTCCGGGCTCCTCCCCCCACCCCCTTTTATTGGGGGCTGGCCAGGAACCCGAACCCTTGACTTTGGTGTTATCAACACCGCGCTCTAACCAACTGAGCGGACCGGCCAGCCCTCCCCTTTCGTCTATTCCCATCTATGCCCTTCATTATTATTAAAATGTGTTTGCTCATTCAGGCTTTGAGTCGCCAGACTGGCTGATGGCTGTGCTTATTTCACTTTGACAAGGAGAGAGAGTAACGCAGTGGACACACACCCGGGGTCCCCACAGCCCACGGGGCACACGTGGCGGCAGGACTTAGAGGTGGTGGATCCCAGACTGATGGCGTGTGTAACAGAGTGCCCCTTGGTGACTGAGTGACTCTAGATGCCAGACGACAGACATCCAGGCGTCAGTAAGTCCAAAGAGCTCCACCTTCAGAATCTACCCCAAATGTGCCCCATTTCTCATCGCGGGACTTCGTGGCCCCACCCGGGTCCAACCCCTTTACCCCCACACTCTGTTCCCTTCACAGCCACCAGAGGGCCCCCGTGAGCACCTGAGTTGGGGCTTAAACCCCGCCGTGGCTCCCAACACCATCAAAAACCGCTTTCCTGAGTGAGGTCTGGGGAGGCTTTGGAAGCACAGATGCTGAGAGTAAAACCGATGGAATTTGCCAATGGATTGGATGTGGGGTGTGAAAGAGAGGAGTCTTGGATTTCTCCAAGTTAAACTATGGATGAAATGGTGTCCACATCAGAGAGAAGCTAAAATGAAGTATTGCAGGCACAGGGCCTGTTCAACAACAAAAAATTTTTTTAATTGGTGGCTAGCTGGTAAGGGGACCCAAACCCTTGACCTTGGTGTCATCAGCACCACACTCGACCGGTGAGCTAACCATCCACCCCAACAAATATTTGTTGAATGAAGTAATTAAGAAAGAAAACAAAAGATAATGGAGCTTCAGGGATGGGTGCATTTTTTTTTTTTTTCTTAAAAGATGACCGGTAAGGGGATCTTAACCCTTGACTTGGTGTTGTCAGCACCACGCTCAGCCAGTGAGCTAACCGGCCATCCCTATATGGGATCCGAACCCGTGGCCTTGGTGTTATCAGCACCACACTCGCCCAAGTGAGCCACGGGCCAGCCCGGGATGGGTGCATTTAACCATCAGGATCACCCATGCTCTGGGAGATGACTAGCATATGATCTCCCCGAAACCCTCAAGTTGTCTTTTTTTATTTATTTTTATTTTTTAAGATGACCGGCAAGGGGATCTTAACCCTTGACTTGGTGTTGTCAGCACCACGCTCTCCCAAGTGAGCCACCGGCCTGCCCTATATGGGATCTGAACCTGTGGCCTTGATATTATCAGCACCACACTCTCCCCAGTGAGCCACGGGCCGGCCCTGAAACCCTCAAGTTGAAACAATCAGAGTTTTGTGGCAACATAGAGAGGAAGGAAAACAATACGCTGGAGACAGATTAAACCTAGGGTGGGATAATCCACTCAGACAAGATCCTAAGGGGCCAGACTAAAAGACAGAGGGAAATGGGTTGGGGAAACTGAGGGCTGAACTTTGGGGAGATATTATGTTGAGTCATGGCTATATGTGAGAATGAGTAAGAAATAAACTCTATGACATGCCATAGCATGCTCATGCTCGAAATTTTCATGGCTATCTACTTGAACATGAACTTATACATGTACGGCAATTACAACAGTGTTGTGTTGGTGAAAGACAGGCACATGGGCCAATGGAACAGAGCAGCACACCCAGGACAGACACCAGCACAATGGAAACTAGTGTGATGGGCCACTCAATACGTGGCAAAGTATGTCACCCAACTGAAAAAAAAAAATCAAATAAGACTCCTACCTCACACCACACACACAATTAAACTCCCAAAGGCTAAAGAGTGAAAAGTGAGAAACCAAGACTTAAAATTATGGGAAGACAGTCGGTTAGAGTACATGACAAGGTCACAGGTTTGGATCCCCTTACCGGCCAGGTGCAATAAATAAATAAGTTTTAAAAAATTATAGGAAGGAAGCCTAGAATAATATAATTTACAATTTTGGGTAGGGAAAGGGTTTGATATAAGATACATCAGAAAGGAAAAGATGGATGTAGCTGTTGCCATCAAATAAGATGCCATAAACACTGTTGAATTAGGGGATGCTAAAAAAAGGTGCTCATAACATACAATGAAGGATTCGTACAAGGGGGGCAGTTTGGTGGTCTGTGTGCAGATCTAACTTACAAACAAGAGAGTGCCTCTGCTTTCTTTAGTAGCTCCATACCAGCCAGCAATACCAAGCAGTATTGTGATGCACCCAATTACCAGGAACAGGTAGCCAATGTGATAGAGGTACGTGGAGGGCACTCCAAGGACCCTCATCAGGGCAGCCCCTCTACACCTGACACCAATGCCCAGGGAAATGAGGATCGTGCCAGACACCTACAGAACAGAAATCAGAAAGGAAAAATAATAGTCTGTCAGCTGTGTACAAATACAACTCTCCCAGGGTCAGGGAAGCAAAGCAAAGCAATAAAATAAGCAAAAGTGTTCAAAAAATGATAATACCCGGAGCTTGCGAAGATGCGGAAATATTCTCATAAATTGCTGCTGGGCAACAAACTTATTTCTGTTTTGTTTTGTTTTGTTTTGTTTTGGTGGGGCACAATGACACTTTGTAATTCATACTTAAAACCTTAAAGGTCTTGCCTTTTAAGGTAAAACCCTTTATCCAGCGATTCCACATCTAGATATTCAGCCTAAGGAAAATAGTCACAGATGTGCCTCAGGACCAAGATGCACATGAATGGTTTTTTACAGTGTTTTTATAAGAATAAAACTTTAAAAATAACTAAAGTAGCCAATAATTCAGATTGGGTAAAGAAATCATGGCACAACTGTCCAATGGGATCCTAGATATTTTTTGTTTGTTTGTTTTTTACTGACTGGCCAGTGTGGGGATCTGAACCTGAACCTTAGTGTTATCCGCACCGTGCTCTAACCAACTGAGCTATCCAGCCAGCCCCCCTAGATAGTCATTTTAAATGACATTGTAGGACAAGTGTTGAAAATTTTTTTTCTGGAGAGCCTCAGATATTGTGACCTTTACAGGTCATAAGGAGTCTGGTGAAATTACTCAGTTCTGCTGGTGTAGCTCAAAAGCAGCTGTACACATAACTCAGTCAAGTGTAGTCTGCTGACCCCTATAGTAGGAGAAAGTTTATTGACACATAAAGATGTTTTTAAGGCTTTAATGTGTTTTTTAAAAGTGGATTGTAAAGCACTAGCATGTTTGTTCTGCTGTTTTTAAAAGATATATAGAAAAGTCTAGGGCTGGCCAGTTAGCTCACTTGGTTCCAGCACAGTGTTGGTAACACCAAGGTGAAGGATTCAGATCCCCTTACCGGCCAGCTGCCAAAAAAAAAAAAAAAGAAATCCTGGAAGGATATAAGGATGATAATGATGGCAAAGGTGCTGATGATATTTATTAAGCAATGACATCATGACAGGCATAAGCTCTTTAAATGCATCGTCTCCTTTAATTCCCATCAAAATGTCACAGTTCAGGTGACAAGATGAGAAGAGATATTTAATTTCCTTCTCTTTCCTGGCAGCCTTTCCTTATACTGCTCTATAGTGAAAACGATTACTTCTTTAACAATGCACATTTCAGATTACTTTCATAGTAAGACAAATAATGTTTTGAAACATTTATTTTCATTTATTTTTTTTTAAAGATGACCGGTAAGGGGATCTTAACCCTTGACTTGGTGTTGTCAGCACCACGCTCAGCCAGTGATCTAACCGGCCATCCCTATATGGGATGCGAACCCGTGGCCTTGGTGTTATCAGCACCGCACTCTCCCGAGTGAGCCACAGGCCAGCCCCATGTTTTGAAACATTTAAAAGATCAAGAAAATAACTACTGCCTCTTGACCTCCCGAAACAACGTGGGTTTTGCAAATCTGTGGGATGTAACTAAGAGCCAAGCTCTTTCAGCATCATTCTGGGGTCCCCCAAATCACACTCATCTGTGCTTGATTTCACCAGCTCTGGGTTGATCGGCGCCTACGCCTGTTCCCCATGTACCCTGCCCCTCATCAGAATGCCCTACATCCCTCCTTCTTCCCTGGGGATCACAGATCTGGATGTCAATTTGGATCAGCTTATTTCTGTCTTTCAGGGCGCCAGCCGTGGAGGCAGGGCTGCAAAGTCCCAGGGCCTGGGTGGTGACATACTTACAGCCACGAAGCCATTGAATACATGTAACAGTTTCTTCAAGGAAGAATATGGAGTGTGCATTTCAGCCATGTTGGCCAGACTAGGGAGCCCTAAAGCATCTTCCTAAACCCCTGGGCTGCTGTTTCCCAAGATGACAGAGGTCTGCGGTAGGGGCACAGAGCTGACTTGCTCTGCCCCTCTCTCTCCTGGCAGCCTGATCGTCTCCCGGGGCTGCCCGACAACTGCCCCGCCTCAGTCATAAGCCTCTGTCACATCATAATCGGATGCTGGAGCAAGGCTCATGGCACCAGGGAAGCAGGGGCCCCAAACTGCCCCCTGTCGGCTCCTCATCCTCCAAATAGGCCACAATGGGGATGGAGAAGAGGCATGGTATGCTCTCCTGGTACGCCCAGATGCCACCGGGGTCCTGTGGGCACCATGACCAAGTGTAAAATTGACATCCCCTGCTACACTGGGGGCTCTGGGAGAGCAGGGACCTGGGCTGTCTTATACCCAGCTGAGTCTCCAATGTCTGGCACAGCAGGTACTCAGGAAACTAGTGTGGAATGAATCAAGAGGTTCTAGGACACAGGAATCTAGCTACGAGCCACTGGGCCCTTCCAAGGCGGGGACCACACTTGGCCCATCCTTCTTACAGGGCTCAGAGAGGCCAAGGAACTTGTCTGAGGCCACACAGGAAGCAAGGCCAAGGCTGGGCTTTGAAGTCCAAGAGTAACAGTGGGGGAGGAACGTGAGAAGTAGAGAGCCTGTCCTTTCTCCATCTGAGGTCTGCTCAGCTCAACTGTTCTTGAGCTGTGTCTCATCAGTCACTGGGCTTTTCTTGAAGATGACAGAGACATGGTGGCCGTTTCAGGGTAAAAAACCTGCACGTGGGCACGGAAGGCCCCCAGGACCAGATCCTGAAGCCTCTATGTAGCCCATCATGCACCCCGTCTCCCCACTCCTACCACAGACTGGGGTCCGTCTGTGCCCAGGTCCTGGCTGGCTGGAGGAGTGGGAGTCGGTTCAAAAGGGAGAAAATAGCTTACGCATTAATGAATGTTTGTTAGATCGCCTGCTTCTTGGAACATGGAGAACTGAGCAAGATGTTTATGGCAGAATGACTCCCTCCTCCCTGGACCACAGGCCACGTTCACAGTTTGGAGTGTGTCCTTCTAGGCCTTTCTCTAAAAGGTCATTTGAAATAAGGAGCCTCAGAGCCAGGGGCTGAGGAACCGAAAATAGAGACGCAAGCATGGGGTGCAAGGCAGCATGGGAAAATGTAGGCTGCAAAGGTGGGTGAAGAAAAGGGGGATACAAAGGAGGGTGGGAATGGAAACCGGGATGGTAAGAGGCATGGAGAAAAGGAGGGTGGGGAGGTGGCAGCACAAAGAAGGGTGGAAAGTGAGAGGCAGAGACAACCGGCCTCGGTGGGAGGCAGAGGGCGGTGCGGACGTGGGAGCAGGCCCTGGGTGGGGAACGGCGGGAAAGGAGGAGCCTCCACGTGCTGCGGGCGCCCCGCCCCCCCTAGGCCCCGCCCCTCCGCGGCCCCGCTTCACCGCACTGCCTCCGCCCAGGTCCCGGCCTCGCGCGTCACCTGGCGGCCGTCAGTGGAAGCGCGGCCCTAAGTGCTGGAGCGGGGGCGGATACGGGAGCCCGCTCTTCCCCGCCGCGACTGTGGAGTCTGCGGACCAGACAATCCAAATGTGCCCGTGTCCCTCTCCCCACCCTCCCCCGCCCCCCATCGTGCCACCTCTCAGCCCGTCAGCGTGAGAAAATGAAGCAGGGACAAGTCCCCCTCGCCCCAGATCCCCCCACTCACTGAATTGATGTGAAGAGACAGAATCATACAGTCATCGGCGAAATACAAATGCAAAAACATTTGGCCAAAAACATGCAGAAAAACGGTATAGTCCATCAGTAACAGTTCAAAGCTTCTGGAAAAGTGGAGAGCTGTCAGGAGGGCATTTAAATACCATTGTACAAAGAAGAGAAGAGCCACTCCAGTATTTCCTTTTTTTAAAAAAAAAAAAAAGATGACCGGTAAGGGGATCTCAACCCTTGACTTGGTGTTGTCAGCACCACGCTCAGCCAGTGAGCGAACCGGCCATCCCTATGTGGGATCCGAACCCGGGGCCTTGGTGTTATCAGCACCGCACTCTCCCGAGTGAGCCACGGGCCGGCCCTCCAGTATTTCCTTAATAGCAGAACTTAGATTTGTTTCTCCACATGCTTGGTCTCCTTCCTTATATTTTAGGAGATCTTTTTTAATAACATGATTTCCAAGAAAATGGAATGTCTTGAATACACATACACATATACACAGAGTATTTAGGTCAGAAACCCATATCGGTCTATGAACTCTCCTTAATTCATGTATTTGCTGTCAACAGGAACAATGGGGCTGGACCCAGGTGGATTCACCAGGAAATGAATGACACCTAAACTGTCACACGCTCTTCAAGGTCTGAGAGGGGCTCAGAGGTAGGTTCGCCGGGCTGATGGCACATGTAAAATTTGCAGCAATGATGTATTTGTTTGTTTAGGACTCACAGAACCTGGGTCCACCCCTGACAAGGGACTTTTTAGGGTTTAAGGTATTTTAGTAACAATCATTGGGGTAGAGAGTGGCAAATCAGAATCCACCAACCAACAGAAAAGTCTGGAGCGCACAAAAGAAAGGTGGCTGTCCTTGCTGAGGACGCTCCACACCCTTGGCATTGATTGCTCTGGGAGCTCCCAGGCATGGACCTCAGCCATCACTGCAGATGAGCACAGAAGTGCCACCAGGTTGTGGCATCAAGGGCTGAAACCCTTGACATGACAGTAGAGGATCATGATGGCAATTGCTACCAAATGAAAAGGAAGCAGACAGCATTTCCACCATTGGGGATTTTTTTGTTTGGCTGGTTGTTTTTTAAAATTCCATTTGTTTCCCTGTGCTCACATTCTGGTTTAAGGTTGAGCTTTGGTGCTCTGTGTGCAGAGGGACTGTGAGTTGAGAGGCACTGAGGGGGGGGGGACAGAGAGGCCCCTGTCCTGTAGGGGCACTTGCTGCTTTCCCAGGTTCTTATTTGTTACTACATAAAGATCCAAAATTTCTACCCCTTCAGCCCAGCAGAATCTTAGCTTTCAGAAATAAGAGGAGTAAGATTAAGTAGTGCCAAGAAATTTTTGATGATATTCAAAATACTCAGCCACGAGGCATGCTCAGCCAGCAATGAGCCCAACAGAACAGAGGGTCTTGGGGTGTCGACTCTGTAGGGCTGGGGGGTTCTGGAGGAGTATAGCAGCAGCAAGTGGCCTCCAGTCCAGTGAGCGCAGGCGACTCTCCTCTAGGGGGCTCCTGTTCTTGCTGGCATGTAAGTTTCTGGTTATAATTTCCTCTCTTTTTTTTGGTGGCTGGCTGGTATGGGGATCCAAACCCTTGACCTTGGTGTTGTAACACCACTCTCTAACCAACTGAGCTGACCAACCAGCTTATAATTTCTTCTTTCAACTGGTCAGCTGGTCCCAGGGCAGCCAAGACCGTTCCCATCCCACATTCCCCAGGTCTCTCAGTTAAACACATTGAAAAGCTCATAAATAGTTTTCAGAGGTTTTGCACCTCTAATGTCTCAGGGTAGAACTGAAATGACAGAAGAGACTTTTTAAAGCTTATGGGAAATGTTTCTCCTTCTGGGAACGTCTACTACAAATTTACTCAAATGCAGTAGGCCAAGAGTTGTCAAACATCTTCTGAAAAGCACCAGGGAGTAAATGTTTTCAGCTTTGTGGACCATACCATCTCTGTCGGGACTCTGCCATAGAAAATACCCAAATGAACAATATGTAAATATATGTAAATGAACATGTGCAAATATATTTAGATAAACATATGCAAATGTGTCTAAATGAACATATGTAAATATATGTACGGGAATAGGCATGGCTGTGTTGCAATAAAATGTTCTTTACAATATAAAATGTTTTTGTCATTTACAGGAACAGGTGTCAGGACACAGTTTTGCCAACACCTGCTCTTAAGCCTCATTTAAGTTGGCAAATGATTGAAAACAACCCAATGCCCTTCAAAAGGAACTGGTTAAGTACGGATGGATCAACTAGTGGAAGAAATACTCAGATGCTGAGAAATGAATGTAGAATTCATTAAAAAAGAATTGACACCATGTACTCAAACAAATACATGGACCATCATGCTCACAGCAGCATAAAAATAGCCAGAAGTGAAAACAGCCCAAATGTCCATCAGCAGATGAACGGATAAACACATGGTGGTATGTCCATACAATGGAATGTCACCCAGCCATAAAAAGGAATGAAACCCTGACACATGCCACGACATAGAGGAACGTCCAAAACATTATGCTGTTTGAAAGAAGTGAAAGAAGGCGGATGCAAAAGGCCATGTGTTATATGGTTGCATTTACATGAAATGCCCAGACTGGGCAAATCCGTAGAGACAGAAAGATTAGTGGTTGCCAGGGGCTGAGGAGAGCACAGGAAGGGACTGCTTATGGGGCACAGGGTTTCCTTTGGGGATGATGAAAATGTTCTGGAACTAGATAGTGTCCATGGCTGCACAACAGTGTATATGTACTAAATGGGGCTGAATTGTACACTTTGAAATGGTTAATTTCACGTTATGTGAATTTCACCTCAATTTTAAAAAAATCATTCACTGCCCTCCATAAAAGCAGAAACATTCTGGTCTTTCACAAACAACCATAGAAATATGGAGTTTGTTGGGATTCCTTGAGGGAGGTGGTATCATCAGGGGGTTGGGCCCTAATACTTTGTTCAGATCCTGGTGTCTCCAGTGACTGTTCAAGTGACTTAAGCCAAGGCACTCACCTGGCTTAAGGTGACTCACCAGTCATATTGGGTTAGGGCCACCCCAATGAGTTCCTTTAACCTTAATTACCTCTTTTAAGATGCTTTCTCCAAATACAACCACATTCTGAGGTAGTGAAGATCAGGACTTCAACATATGAATTTGGGGGCTGGGGGGAGATGACACAATTCAGAGGCTTTTTTTTTTTTTAAAAGATGACCGGTAAGGGGATCTCAACCCTTGGCTTGGTGTTGTC